TCAAGTGCGTCTCCCGGGTTTAATTCTTTCGGTTCTTCTTGATGAACCGATGGGTCATTTTCAAATAAATTCAGAAAATATTGTGATCGCGTCTTTAAAATATCAATATGACAATAGATTGGTTTATCATTGACTAAAAATTTCACGTCTGCTGTGTTCTGATTGCCTAAATGCCGTTCCCAAGTATCAATCAAATCCTTGGGAGCTTTATTCCATGGAAGAGTTAACACCGATTTGTGCTCTTTTGCTTTTGGTGCATTCATGAATTCTACACCGACTATAATTTTGCCACCTTCAAGATATGAAGGTTTCTTCCAAATTTTTTTAAATCCTAAACATAATGAGTTTGTTTTTATTAGATTTAGGCATACCTCTTCACCTTGTTCGAAATAATAATTTTATAAGGAAAACTAATATTAACCTAACCATGTGCCCATGATTGAATATCCATTGGTACGAAATTCTCTACTAACGATATCTTTTCTGGTAGCATGATTCTTCAAGTATACCCTTGCAGTCAATCCGCCACGTTCTTTCCATGATGATTCGGATACTGATTCTCGTGTATTCGGAATTGCTGTCAAAAATAGATCGTAGAACTCTGAATCGTTAACATTCGGCTAGAATATAAAAAAATATATATAAATTAATTTCTTGATTTTCGAATTCTGAATTTCACTAAAATAAATATACATTACAGGTCCAAAAACTAGTTGCCAAAAAATATCATTCGCAGTTGCAAACAACGGACTATGCACGGGATTCGAGAGCTCGAGTACATCCGCAACAACAAATTGAAAAGTGATCTCATCATTAAATGTGCTTTGTCTTTCAGTTGTTGATGATGACGACAAAGACGCTCCTGTGAGCAACGCAGCTGCATCTGAGAACTTCAAGTTTAACAATTTTTCCATGGAATATTTTGTAGAGAATGTTATGCGTTGATTATTCTGGTTCGTTCCTGTATATAACAATAGAAATAATTAACTTTAATTAAGCTCTCAACTATTTTCATATACATGTATCATGTACATAACAATAAAGAAGTTTTGTTTATCCTTATCGAATCAAATGATAAATAACACAAACACAAACCTAAATAAATTAAATCAAAAACCTAGTTTAGCATTAACTTTTGATAATCAATTATTTACATGTATTTATTTATTACTCAAAATCTCTTGTTTCTAAAAAACTACAAAATAACGTTTGTTCATTTTTTTTGGTTCCCCAGTTATTCTGTTCATATGCAATCAACAGCATTTTTCTTTGATTGCAAGTAACACGAGATAGTTGAGCAGCAGCATTTACAATTGTTAAAAATGCCCTGGGTCGCATCATATATTGACAGTTACTCTGCTTCATATTTATACCGATTACGGCAGAAGACTTAAATTTCGTCGTCATACGAAAAAAAATGCACTACCGCTACCACTACAAATAGCAAGTAACGGAATTTGGATACATCATGCGGTGAAACATTTCGTTAATGACTTATCGATATTAACAGTAGAGGTTCACTAGTTTACTATTCGTTATTTTTAAAATTAGATGAGCAAAAGCAAGTGTTGTATTCTAATTGTAGCAGTTAATGACCATAATTTTTGAAAATTCTTCATTTTGATTTTTTCTTTGTTTTTTCCCTCCTAAACCATAATTATTCGTAGTCTCGATGAAATTTATATGAATTAATTGATCCAATTAATTTAAAAACATTACTTGTTTTGTTGCTGGCCGATGAAAGAGCGGAATATTACCTTGGTTTTGGAGGCTAATCTCTTTATCTAATTAATGATTATTACTTAATCAAAGACCATCTCATACATACATCCCAACCAATATATCGTTTTAATTTATTTTAATTAATCGCTCAAAATGGAATTTTGTGATCGGTAAAAAAAAATTCCCATATATTAGCGTTAGAATAATATTATCAAAAATTTCTCGATTATTATTACAACGAAACCGTCTCGACCATTAACAATCAAATTTCTTTTGTTATATTTTAATTTACGACAAAAAGACGTTTATTATTTGTCTCCCTATTGTTATTCTTGATATACGTACTTAAAATTTCGCGTCGAATGGTGTGCATTATCAAAAAAAAAAAAAAGGGCTCGTGATTACTTTAAAATACGGGATAAAATATTTCTTAAATATAATTATAAAAGTATACTGACATTAATTGTTGTATTGTTATAGTATAACAAGAGAATAATAATAAACATACTTCTCAGAACAATTATACTATTTTTGTCTAATCGAACCGATTTTTCTCTAACCGACTAGCCGACCACTAGCTGCTGGCTAATCAAGAAGCTATTGTCTCAATACTGTTACTGCCTGTTGAGAAGGACAACGGTACGGTATCAACAGCAACACAAAGACAATAAACAAAAAAATTATTATTTGTAATCTGCACTAAAATTCTAATTCACAAACAAAAACAAAAAAACCCGAATAAAATTATTTCACTCGCTCCTTCCGACCAAAACGACAGACAAAACCATCTCCGATCATTAATTTTTGCTAGGAAAATTTTAATTTTTTTAGAGTTCATTTTAAAATACACATATTTATATATAATATAGTATACTATAATATATTAATATTAATATATATATTTATATTTATATACAATACACATATATATATATCCATCCTGAAATTTGCCGTTTTAATCAAGTTAGATGGTTGATAATTATATTTCATAGTCAGTTTGAAATTTTCACTATTTCTAGTATTATCATACTTACTATTAGATTATTTCGGGTTAAAAACATCCTTTTACATCATACAGTCTCTTTGATTTTTTTATTTATTTAACAAATTTTAATATTAGTATTTCATTAAATTTCCAGCATCATTTTTTATTCGTTTTTGTTTTTAAAAAGACACAATTTCGTTAACATCGTACCCACAAAATGAATAGCGGCATACCATCGTCGTCTTCCTCGTCTCAAACTAAAATTGAACACGAGCGTACGGCAGAAATAGTGAGAAAGACGGAAGAGGTCAGTTATCATGTTAAGAAATATAATTATCAGGATGAATAGAGAAAAAATGCGGGAATAAAAAAGGCGTTGTTATGTAAACTATTTAGGTTATTAAAGCGTACAAAGAGGCAGGACACGCACTACGATATGTTTCTCAGGTCGTGGGCGAACTACAAAAAATTCTTCCCGAAGATATGTGTATTCGCTTGCCAAGCGGACTACTCAACGGTCCTTCTTCAGCAGAGCTACGATTACCCGATGAAATCCGAAAAAATGACTTACTGCGAAAATTCAAAAAGTCACCAAACATAAACACTGCGGTTGATTCCAACCCAACACCGCCTCCTAACTACGGTGAATTTATTATGGATATCGATCCAAAACCACAGAAATTTCGTCCTATTGCTCCAACTATGAGTAATGCCAATATCAATGCTATCATACATCATGATACTTTTGAAAATAAAAAATCATCGTCAAAAGATGTTTCGCCACATAAATCTTTTGAGAGTACGATCAAATTTCCGGAGTGCATAAAGGAAGAAGAGGAACAAGAAGATGAACTGCTGCCGAGGAAGCCGCTTTCCTCAAATGGACTTAATCATCATCATCGTCGCTCCCCTAAATCTAGTAAGAAAATAAAATCATCATCAAAGTCAAAGCATCGACATCAACCATACGAAAGACTTTCTGGGCCTTCAACGAGCGATGAATCTTCTGAAATCCCAAAAGAATTCTTTGCAATGAAAATGAATTTCAACTCGGACAAATCGTCACTGATAAGCAGTCATTCACGTATGGAAAGGTATCAAAAGTCACGAAGAAAGAAAGAAAAGCGACCAAAGAAACAACAACAGGTTGTTAGGTACAGTCCACACTCAGATGACGATGCATTAGATTCTGCTTCTCCTGCAAGTACATCTACTCCTATTATTAAGAAACCAGCGACCACGCCGAACCCATTAACTGCTGAGCAGCATGCGCTGGTCGATGATTTCTTAAAATGTCTCGAGCCACGACTTGCCAGCGGAACTGTTTCACAGAAAGGAATTGCACTAGAAATTAGAAAAGTGTCCGGAAACACTTCACAAATAGTTCAAGGTACAATTTCAAAATTAATACGAAGGATCGCAGTTCCAAAAGATAGCGCGACTATCGCAGCCATTCGTGCATGGATCGAGACAGAACAAGCAAAGAATGATAGTTCGAATTAATTCGATATTTTTTTAAATCAACAAACAAATCAGATGTATATAATATGGAAAGACGAATTAATGAATGAATGCTAATATATGTATATGTAAAGATTTTTTGTAATTATTCTATCCATATGATTATGTGCAGCAGAAGAATTGAATTTTTTTAAGAATCAGATAATGAATGCATTGATTTCTAAGGTTTAGATTTTTTACGAAATCTTAATTTATTTCATGGCTGATCTTTTATTTAACTTTCTATATAACATTAATTTTTGGTTTTATTCTTTTTTTGCAATTTCAACATAACGCGTTGATTTCATCAGGAACAAAGATAATAAAAAAAATTAAAAATATTTTCAAAAATTAATAATCGAGACGATTTTGATTGGTGCCACTATCGCTATTAATGCTTAACGTTAATGAGTTATAGATTACTTGACAACAGAATTCCTGTGCGTTTTTAATATATTTCTATAATTTCATCAATATTTGTGCTATAGTTACGCATATAGCACGTACAAACAAAATGTGCGGGTGAAACTATTACATGAATTTATTAACGTTAAATAACATTATATTAAATTACTTTATACATGTATCTCAATTATGCGCGGCACGCTATGAGCAAAAATAAATTCTAATCGATATGCGATCTAATTACGATTAATATTTAATATCAAATGCAACGTTGCTGTTTTCAAAGTTAAAAATTTTGTTTTAAAAAAAAGAAATTAATAAAAACTATTATCGTTATGCTAATATTTGATAAATTTTATTAATATACAAAGTGCAAAAACTTTGATGCAAATTATCATTAAATTTTTAGAAAAAAGCAAAAATACAATATTATAGGCATATAAAAAAATAATTGTTTTTCTATCTTTCATAGTACATGTATTATCGTTAATATGACTATAAAAAATTTGATCTGTTGATCTGCTTAATATCGATATTACGTTTCATAGTAAAAAGAGTTTTCACATGCACAATCCCATTGATTGAAACGTTATTTATAACAATAATAATAATGATAAAATTTTGGCGATGTTAACTGTTACGCTAAGATCTACTGCAATAAAATTCGGAAATTCTTTTAAAAGTATATACACAATTCCGACTCAATGAAATTGATGCGGTTAACAAGAAGATATGCAGTATGATAATTGCGGGTTCAAATTCAAGAAGACAAAGCTAACTATTAATTTATGCTTTGTCAACTTTCTCCTTTTTTCGCCCATCGTTAATTCCAAAAAGATTCTTTTTACACCATTTTATTCCTTTTTAAAAATTCATAATCACGCAAAATGATATTATTACTATGAAACGAGATTTTCTACAACATTTGTATTTTATATTCTTTAGAGATTTTAAAACCATACTTTGCATATTAATATGAACAAAGTTCAGCTTTCATACTACAGTTTAATTTTAAATAGTCATCTAAATTTTCATATCGCACCTTCTAAATGCATATTTTTTTGATTAATTTTTTATATGGGACATTGCATATTTCTCTAAATGCATATTTTAAAAATTTTGTACTATGGTCTCGCTGGCTATGTACTTAGCAAGTGCGACCATATTATCTACATATAAAAATATCAATTACTAAATTTTCTGCCCATTTTTTGTGTTAATAAATATATAAAGTTAATTCGAAAAATCAAGCTTTTGTATACTTACTATGGTCTTTTGTAAAGTTTAAAAACTCAGAACGGCTCATGTTAATCTGTGTAATTAAGAGAGTTTAAAGGTTGAAAAGAATAAATTGTAATTCGACTAATATTAATATATGCATATAATGCTTAAGTTTTTTTTTATTAATTGTAAAATGCATATTTTAATTTAATATAAAAGTTATTAAATTTTGTTGATATAATTATAATTATTACAACTATAATTCAAATTTTGAATTCTTTTATTATTTATTAAAATTTTTAATATAGATTGAAATTTTTTTTATTAAAATTTATATATTAAATTATAAAATTATAAACCTTAATATGGAAAATTTCAATTTTTACTAAGAATGTATTAATAAATATTGCCCTTAATATATTATTTTGATAATTGCTCTATATTTTAAAATAATAATAATATCAGCATATGCTTTTATTAAATTAATAAAAAATATTTTATAATTTTCGCATCCTTATATTAAAAAAATTTATTAAATTTATAAAAAAGTTTAAATTATTAAAACATAATATGAATTTATAAAATCTTTATACAATACTTGAATTTTGTAATTAATAAAATATAATAGTAACAAAAATATGAAACCAGTTTGTAACTTGTAAAAAATATATAAATTTTGATTTATATTTTAATTATTATAACAAAATTTAAATGAGAACCTAATTTTAAAATTAATATTTTATATAAAGTCAAAATAAAATAAAAAAATAATATTTTAATAATTTCTAAATTAAAATTTTTATAAATATAAAATTTTTCTTTATAATTTAAAAGATAATTGTTAAAAAATTAATTTTAAGTTTATTAAGAAGATATTAAAAAAGGCAAGTACTAAAAGAAAAATAATAAAAAAATACAAAATAATAAATAATTAAAAAAAATAATATAATAAAAAATACTTATAGTGATGGTCAAAAGTAATAATCAAGGGCTAAATTTATTAATAAAATATAGTGAAATCGAAATTTTCTCTTTATATTATAATTTATAATTTTTATTTAATATATTAATAAAAATTAATAATTTTAAATAGAAAATTAAGTTTTAAACTTTTTATTAATAAAATTAATTATTTAATTTTATAATTATTCTAGTTGTTATAATTATATAATATTAAAAATTTATATTTAATAATTATTCATTTTTATTTTTATTATATTAATTAATAATATTGTAACATTTAAATA